TATATCCTACTAAATCCGACGTAAAATTTCAAGATGCTAAGCTATAAAAAGTTGAGATATAAAATTTACAACTTCTATGTCTACTTGCATCTAGGATATAAACAACCTAATCTATTTTTTATCAAAAATTTAGACAAATAATAAAGGAAGATTCATACGAGGGTATATAATGCATGAGGAAATTAATTAAGAACCAATAATGTGAACAATATAGCCAATAATGATAAGCTAACTTAAATTCCCAAAGGATAGGGCGAAAATTGATATCGTTATCAAAGAATAAATATGAAAATGTTGAAAATTGCGGCCTGCATAGAAACAAGGTAACAATATAATTTAATCTAACTAAAGAAAGAAAGCAAAAAAGAGATTGCGAGAAACTAATAAATTGATAAGTAGAAGGATATTCGTATCACTGTAGCTTACACTTATTCATATCTGATTCAGTAAGGTCGTTGAGTCCAGTAAAGCCCTTTGGTTTGCCGCGTCCCAGGCCTTGCCCCATATTGTACGCAAAAGTACCAGATTCCTCAGCTCCCTCCTTGTCAACTTCCTCTGATGAACGACTAAACACGTGTTCCCCAACGGCTCGCAAAGACTCAATAGCAGCAGCCAGGGTTGCTGAGGTCAGCACAACAGAGGCCGCATCTTCACATACCTGCTCCTATAGAAAGGTAGCAAAACGAATAGAGATTAAAATGGGAAACAAAATTTTGCATATGCCCTGAATATATAAAAGTATTTATAACGAAGTTACCGTATTAAACTAAATAAAATAGAAATGAGCCAGCAACAGTGATGGAACCACAAGTCTGATAATAGAGGCTGTCTCGAAATTCAAGGCTTAGTCAAATTTACTAGGTAACTAATCTAAGCAAATATTATTAGAAAAATGCTGTCACAAATAGATTGTTTCAAAGTTAGATTGGCAATGATAGTATTTGCATTCACTTCCTTAAGTATAAGCCAAGGAAGAATAAAATAGATAATTTAACAAATGTTAGGCTATAAAAACGAAGATATAGAGCAACTTAGTCTTTAGCAGAGTTCTTACAATGTTGTGTGCTTCGTCGAATATCACAACGGTGTTCTCCAGTTCAATGTTATAAAGGCGACGGATCTTGAATAATGCAGAGAAATAAAAGAAGTCGGCCTTATTTCTTAATGTTTGAAAGATGTGAAATGCATTATTAAAAAAAGGCAATAGTAAAATAAGGAGACATTAAAAGTATAGGATAGCGAGTTATAGCATTGGAAGCAATCTAAAATATCAATAAATATTATATAAATTGCAATAAATGAAAAAAATGTGTAAATTTTTCAATATTCATACAAATGTAGACACAAGCATATAAATAAAAAGTAAAAAATCGT